TGTTTAAAATCCAACTTGAAGTGCAGATATAATATCATGAAATTGAACTTGTATAGTGAGAGTTTTCTGCAACATAGCTTCTCCCTGCGAGTGATATATTATTAAAATTAATAATCTAGGAGCCTACATTTGATTATGAAAATGTTTTTCATTTCAAAAGTGTGACTCCCAGACATTAGAGATGCCATTTACTTTACACTAAAATGTCAATTTCTAGTGTATAGTGCGCTGGAGGCTTTAAAGGTAGGGTAGGTAAGAATGGAGAAACCAGCTCGAGTGCGCTAGAATTTGAAAGTACACAACCAAAAAAATCTGCCTCTTCCTTCAGACTTCCTTACAGAGCCCCTCCTCCAACACACACGAACGCGCACATGACCAATGAGGGCACGAGATAAGTTTGTGCACAGATGGAAGGCTGACAGGCAGGTATAGGCCATCCAATCATTTTAGCCGGGCCGGCTAAAATGATTGGTCGTGCTTTTTACAGCACCACGGCTTCCACAGATGACATTTTTGTATGTGTTTATTGTCAAAGCATAATATGTTCATTGCTATCGGGATGTTAAGAGCAGTCCATGGAATATAACAAAAAGTGTTTCTGAAGTGAATTACCTACGCTTTAAGTTCCAACGGCTTTAAAATTCACATTAACCCATGATTTGCTTCTAAACTAATCGTGATGCCCCAAGATCATTTGGTATTTACACTACTGAAGGTAAGCACTGAGAAATCTTTCCTCTTCAGGAGACATTCATAATTCTATCCAAAGTTATCCAGATTTGACAAAAAATCAAAAACATATTTTTGTGTGGCGGGGAATTATTAGTGTATAGTTGTTGCTTTTAATTTAAAATGTAATTGATGCACTCTTATTGTAAACATATGAGAAAACTAAATCAGTTAATCCAGGTGTGTACATCACTGCTTGCTCTCCCTCTGTCTGTGTTTCTGTATCAACACCACTAGAGGTCAGGATTGATCAGTAAATAAGCTTCTTTGGTTTTGCATCTCCCACCTGTTCAACTCACATGGCTTTCTTTTCCATGTTAACTTGAATTCTTAGATGTGCCTGTCAAAAAGTGGCCCTTAAAAATAGATATAAGACAAGGAAACAGTGTGGAGTCAATGTCAGCCTTAACCCCAACACTTCTCAAGTGATCTTCAGTGGGGGTGGGTTTCGATCCGCCTCCGAGGTGCTTTCCAGTGAGCCGAAGAGCCATAAGAAGATGAGATGTTCTCCTCAGGGTTCTCCCCGCTGTCCTGCCACCTCATACCAGGACGGGGCCCCGAAGCTTCTGGGGCCCTAAAGGGAACGATCTGGGTTCAGAAGTCACTCTGAGGGACGGCCCACACTGTCAAAACACAAGAGACGTATGACTCTGGAGGACATACACAGGTACGCATTAAAGCATAGATTAATGTAAAGTACCTGGATTACTTGACATTTCGTTGGCTGACATGTTTGCGATTATCACGAAGCCCCAATTCCAGTTGTATACTGTACATTTTTTACAATGATAAAGAGCATTGAGCTGTGTTTGTGACAACATAGGATACTTTTTATTAAATTAAATACATGCACTGAAAAAAATGAAATGTAGAATTTAATTAAATGTATCATGTCAGCTAATTTAACATAATTGTATAGTAGTTGAGTTAGTCGGTTGAAAGCAATAATATTAAGTTAATCCCTAATGATTTTTCTATTTAAACTTAATGGGATTGCTTTCAACTAACCTAATGCAGTTATGTGAACTCTGTTGACATAATACATTTAATTAATTTGTAATATTTTTTGTTTACTGTAGACCAGACGAATTTACCAATAGGTTAGATATATTATTTGTTAATTTGGGCTTGATTGTATTCACAGTGGACAGAAATAGAAGAGATTTGGGAGGATAGAAACAGATGTTTAAAAATGCTCCAACGCTGCATTCAAACCAAGATGCATACGAGACATTTGAGTCACCTGATTGCACCACATTTTTAAATGATTTTTAAGATATCCAGTAACACTCAGGAACAAAAGTTTATGTCACATGTCTTTTTTTAGGCGTTGCGAAGGTTAAGATCAGTCAAAGTCTCAGTGACTCACACTCCTCTCTGAGCGAGTTTCTGAACATCTTGCTGGTAACCTCTGCCTCCTTTACCTAAGAAGGAATGAGTCAAAAAGCATCAACATAACGGAGGAGTGGAATCTGTGTGTGTTCCCTCTTATGAAGGGTTTTATTAGCCAGTCAAAAAAGGGAAGCTCCTTCATTGTAGATGTTATTAAATAAAATAAAAAATTATGAATTATGTGCAATGTGTACCTTATGTGTCATACCAATATATATTTTTATGAATACATTATTGTTGACGATTTATTCATGAGAAACTCGCATTGTAGTGCTTTTTTCAATTATGGAGCTAATTTACGCTTGATGACATATTTCTGATATTTTATTTTTTAACAGTGAAATATTTTAAAGGTATTTAAGGTCAACATGTGTTTTCTATTTGAAATATTAACTTGTAAAGGAACTATTATAAAATAAAATTAGTGAAGTATAAAGTAATATTTCAGACGTGGAGTGGAAAAAAAGTAATTGAGGCTTAAATTGTACAGAAGTAAAGCACACCACTGCCCACTAATCTGGATGATTCAAACAATAATAATCAGCATCTGTGCTATGACTTCATATCTGATGTAACAAACCAATCTTAGTGGCTTGTCCTATAACGTGTGAAAGCAAAACATGTGTTCACAAATCTAAGATAGTTTCCAAGAAAGCAAATACTTAATTTGTCGAGGGAAAATATATAATTGATAATAATATATATTCTTAAGAGATGATTTGAAACTCAGAAAGACCATCCAGTGTAGGGTAAGGTCGTACGATATTTAAACAGCGAGGATTGCTCATATTAAAGTACCTGGTGATTTGGAACAAAGAAGTGGGCCAATCATCTACTCTGGGGTTTTCCATGTGCTGATAATTGTGCAGTTTTTGTTTTATAGCTTCCACATTCAGCATGTATTGATTATTCCAACCTGTGACTCAGCAAACATGTGACCCAGTGAGGAAGTTTTGAGAGTTCAATCATTGCCATTATTAAAAATAATCTCAGGGCAGAGTCAGATAATTATTAAGTGTTTAAATATGTTTTTTTTTTTATTCTGAGTCATGATCACTTGTGTAATCAGGGCATTGTAATTGTTGAGTTTGTACATACAGTATGGGCTCAATGTCCACAGGTGAGTCAGTGCTGTCAGGTGATTTTTAGTTTCTGTTCCCTGGACGGTTTTGTGGGGTAAGAGGAAGGAAAATAGAAAGCAGGAGTTAATCACTGCAGGCAGTAGTAGGTGGGAAACAACAGGTAAATCAGACTAAATGTTATTAAATCTGGATTTTTCTCCACAGTGAAAATGCAATCTGTTCAATTCAAGAATGTTCCAAGTGAATTCCCCAAGTTAAAAGGGGGAGGGAGGCATGTTGTAGTTACAGTGATTAATCTGGAAATTTGATTTCTGATAAATCTACTGATTAGATTTTATTCTTCTTTTTTTTAAATAATGCTGTGATGCTACAAAATTACTGTGGTCTATCCGACAGTTACATTTTGAACACCGGAACAATAAGGTGAATAAATCAATAATCTATTCGTAAATCAAGATTAAATGTATGATAATGAACATTTCAAGTCACTCATGAAGCAAAATATATATATATTTAAAACCCCACTGGTTTCAGATTCTCAAATTGGAAATGTTGACTCTTGCTGAATATATTTTTTTCAGTGTGGGACGAACATGGACTACAAGAATATAACACACACCCTCATTCTTGCAAATCCAAGCACATAAATGCAAATAGCCTATCTCTCTATACCATCTAAATGCATCATGCCTCTCTCTGTCTCATTTATCATGCTAACATGTGTAGCACCAGCATGCCAAATGAGCGAGCTTTTCTGTTGCAGCCTTTGGTAAACCGCAGTGAAACAGTTGGTGAACTTTGAAACACACCGATGGTTGATAATAATACCTGCTAACCACCAGACAGAGCTGCTTGATTTGAGACAGCCACTGACAGACTGGATGTTGGAATACAGATGCTCTTTTGATATTCTAAGTATTGAGATTATCTGTTGATGTCTGGTACAAAACTAGATTTGTACAAATATAAATGAAGACTTGTGCATATTTAAGTTCATATGCTGCCCCTAGCTTTGAAACATGTGCATTACGTGTGTTCTTTAAAAATCGATTTAAGCAAGATTGAAAACAACCTCCATTTAATTTCTTATTGCCGATTATATGTTTTAAGGGCTACTCTTTTTCAATAGAATGCCCTTTCAACTTCTGAGACATTATTTGGCATGGATGGTTGTTTGAAGCTTGACTCATGAGACACAGTTGTATCTAATGTAAAAATTAAAGAAAAGTTCACTTTGCCTGTCTGGTTATTGTTTTCCCACTGAAAATGCCTGGTGTGTATTTATGTCAAATGAGTACTTCAATGTGCATGACAAAACAAAAACATAATTCAATGATTACCTACTTAACTATTAAAAGGAAGAGGAACAGAAAAGTTGATCTAACGCCCATTCATGCAAAAAAGCCCACATCTGCTTCTGAAGTGTCCTATAGCAAGACATCAAGATCTATTTTTAACATCATTTCCAAACAGTGAAAACAGTACTACATCATCATTGCAATGCCTGCAGTCTACTCATAAAAAGACACATAGATACACCCCTGCAGGCATTCAATCAGCTATACTAAGCCCTCTGATCACCCAATGATGTTATCTTTCGTTTTCCTGACTCATTTGCAGAGGCTGGTCTCCTTGCAGGCCAATGTCTGTCTCCTCCTCACTGACCCTCCTTTGTGCACAGTGGGAGGGAAATGCTTTTCAGTATTGAGTCAGACAGAGCCCCCTCAAGCGGCAGCGAGGTGTAACTTCAGTGAATGTGTGCGAGTGTGTGTGTGTGTGAGAGAGAGAGAGAGAGAGAGAGAGAGAGAGAGAGAGAGAGAGAATGGGTGGACGGAAAGTCCCCGTGTGGAAATCCCCTTGACTTGGGCTTTTTCCTTTAAAAAAAAAGCTATCATTAGCGGACGTGTGTACTCTTTTGAAAGGCTTCATGAGCTGCTCCTTAATAGCCAAGATACCGACTAGAAGAGAAGGTTGAATGGCGCCGAGGACCGCTGCGGTGAGGCTGAGTGAAGTGGCTCAGAGAGAGGACTAGCATCCGGGAGGGCTTTGTTATTACCCCCGACATATTACCCAGGTAAGACACCCGTCCTCCCTGCTTGTGCAACCACATTTACTACCAACGAGGGTTACGACTTAGTGGCTACATCACGTTGGGGCCTTGAGTTATGTATGGTCGTGTTTCTGGGGGACATGGAGGAAAAAGCCTGCTCACGACAGTGCTTTGACAGCCATTGTTTACAAAGACGTCACCCTCCAGAGCATTTTAAACAGCCAACATGTAGCGTTGTTGGTTCCCCACTGTGTTAATACCCGCCCGGTGAGACTCGTTTCAGGGTTACATTGTTTCAGGGGTAGTTGTCATTGGAATTACGTAAGCCTAACGTCCGCAAAGTCTCCTGTTATTGTGTTATTGTGTAGCCAGGCTTTCTTAACCCGCAGCGTCCAGCTCTGTTTGAGCTTTCCAGCGGTGCCAACACACCACACAGGGATTAAGGCTCATGCAAAACGCTCACTGACAACCTGTGTGTTGTCTGGTCCCTTCATGTGACTGACTAGCCTTTTACTTTAGCATGGCCTAGTCTGTTGTTGCACCTGCTGCTGCTGCTGTTTTGGGTAGTTAAGACACTGAGGCACTAGAGAAGCCCTCAGGGTTTAACTTAAACAGCAGCTACTTTTCTTCTAAAATGTTCATATATGAGGAAGTAAAAAAGTCAGCAACACAACTCAGAGGCCTATTTGCTGACCATCACTTTCTACTTCCTGTGAACTAAGAATGTGCTGAGATGCTGTTCATTTTGGGTGAAAAAACCTCAACAGAGACATAAGAAACTCATTTACAATACTTCTACTGTCAGGTTGTACTTTAATACAATTTATGAACAAACCAAAATACAGCATGAAGTTCTGAAACTAAGCATCACGTTTTTGGATACACTTGACTTTATGTATCCTTCAGACTGACTTTATTCAAAAACGAAGCAGTTTCTTGCATTAAACAGTGAGGTATTAAAAGTTTTAAATACTTTGTTTGATTGATCGGAAACTTTGGCATCATAAATGGCACATTCATATATTAAACATTTTCTAACAATTTCTTGATGCAGGCTGGCAGTTGTGTCCTCTAGAGAAAGGTGTTGCGAGGGAGGAGGCCTCGGGGCAGTCAGTCAGTGTGACCTTCTTCACAGCCTGTGACGCCCTGGGTGGCCTTCTGTTAAAGTCTGGAAAACACCAGTTTATTGTTTGAAGGCTTTGAACTCAGTGGGACTCTGGGCCGCACTGTTTGGGAAATACTCAAAAAGGGAGAACAAGGACAATTAAAAGAACAAACAATCCATTTGGCCCACTAGAATTCAACAGTAAGACGATCCTGTGGTGGTTTCCCGAACAAACTGCAAATTAGGTTGTGCCTTAAGTTGCAATTAATAAGGAAGGGGAATCTCCTCTAGAAAAATCCCACCAGTCCTACATGGTGCTACATTTTCTACTGTGTAAATCACCATCCTCTCCTCTTCTCTTCTCTCATTCCAGTTTCCACGTTGTTCGGTCAGCGGTGGTTGGTGCCTCCTCCTCCTCCTCTCCTTTCCTCCTCCTCGTTCCTCTTCCTCCCTTCCATCCATCCACTTGGCCACTCATCCGCCATGTCGCAGGGTCAGAACTACCTCCCCAAATTCCTGTTTGTCTCCAACTTGCTGAAGGCGGTGAAGATCCGTCAGCAAGTGCCCAACGACGTGGTGAAGCCGGATGGCAAAAACGGCCTGATGCACCACCTGCTGGGCATGCACCGTTACACGCTGGAGATGATCGCCATGAACCACTTCCCGCAGGCCTTCATGGAGGTGGTGCAGGCCGCCATCTTGGACCGGGCCATGCAGGTCTCTCTGGAGCAGGAGAAGAAGCTCAACTGGTGTCGGGAGGTGAAAAAGATGGTGCCTTTACGTACCAACGGTAAGAAACAGCGTCCAGTAAACCAGGTTTCTATAATGGGAGCTTTTTTATGAGGTTTTTTTTAATCACAAGTTGGTAGTTAAACTTTGTGGATTAGTTGTTGTGAATTTCTGGACTTTTTATGAGAGCAGACTGTGGGAGCGTGATGTTCTTGCGACATTCAATACAAAGTACATCAACAGGAACAATTAGATAAATAGTCACAGTGCTGATGCCAAACTTTTGTCCCTTTTTGTCTCGAGGCAAGGCAAGTTTATTTATATAGCACCTTTTTAAAACAAGGCAATTCAAAGTGCTTCACAAAAAGGAACAACATTAAGAAATAGTGCAGCGGAAACACATTTAAAAACAGTCATTAAAAAGCAAAGAGAATAACATAAACATAAAACAAGCCAATACAGAATAACACAGGTATAAAATACATGGTTACAGTGCAGTGTGAGATATGAATAGTTCAATTAAAAGCAGCACAAAAAGAAAAGTCTTCAGCCTGGATTTAAAAACAATAAGAGTTGCAGCGGACCTGCATATTTCTGGATGTTTGTTCCAGATATTTGGAGCATAATAACTGAACGCTGCTTCTCCATGTTTAGTTCTGACTTTAAAAATCATTGCTGAGGTCGCAGGATGTGTTTTGCTTTTGTTTCATTTTCGATAACAGAGGCGTATTTGACTTGTAAATTCTGGGACGTCATTACTCACAAGCAGGGTTACTGTAAATGACAACAATGGAGGTACACAGGTTTCACACACACTCATTTAGCAGCCCCCTTGGTTTTTACTGTGCTTTCTGAATTCAGCCCATCGCGAAGTCATGTTTTCTATTACGTGGATGTCGTAACACGGGAACATCCCAGGGCCGGTAAACACTCAGACCCGGCCTGAGTACTTCTGAAGTCTGTGCTGGGAAATTCTCTGTCGTCACTCGTAGGACTGTTATTTACTGTCGATGATGTTTCAGACCCCACTATTTCCACAGTTTTTCATGTATAACCTTACGAGTATGTCCACTCTTTTTCTGTGTAGTTGTGTTTGTAAGGTGTATACATGCCAGTGGGCTTTTAAAACATTTTGAACACTTTGATCAAGTTGTCCTTCTGCCTGACTGATCTAGGTTGGTGTTGCTGTCTTTCTGACTGTCAGTCGTGTCACAGCTTACCTGGCCTTGTTAAATCAAATCCATGTCACCATTTCTATATCTAAATGTAGTTACCTTTAACACATCTGGTGTTTACATTAGATTCTATTTTTATTTTCTGAAGGGAAACAACAGCTATTGCATTCACAACAGAAGGAGGAAGTGGAAATCCAGCTGGGTTACAAGTTGGTCTTTAGTGTTTCCAAAGGAAATGGGGTGCAAATATCACCTAGCATTGAGAAATTCATCTTTTATCTTAGCTCAGATATTCCTACAGTTACTGGATGGATGAGGAACCTTCTGGACTCTCTGGTTTCATGCTTGTTTTTTGTGAGGGTCCCTGTTGATTATGAAGTTATTTATGACTAAAAGAGTTACTGTAAAGCAACACATGGTTCCTCTTCAGAAAGACCCCTGACTTTTTACTTCTGCTGCCGGTAACCTGGACGGAAATTCCTGGCTTGTGAGATGATGTCATAAAGATGAGACCGAATAAGAGTCAGAGCGTCTAACTCTGAAGGACCAAGACGTGACTTTGAGCAGAGGACGGGTGCACACACACACACACACACACACACACACACACACACACACACACACACACACACACACACACACACACACACACACGACTGACTGCTGCTGAGTCACTGAAGCTCAGATGCGAGACAGAGAGCAGAGAAAACTCAGTCAGAGCAGGTCATATTAATCAAGCTTCTCCACGTCATACCACATGTAGTCTGGGAGATACATTTCCCCCGTTAGCCAACAATCTTTTCCCAAAACATCATCTACGCACATTTACAAAAGATTCAAACTAGATTCAATCTTCCAAATTCATTCCACGGATTGAGAATATAACTGACCGTCATCAAAGCCAAACAGCCTCATAACACGCACATTTCCTGGCCGTAAAAAAGAACATGGTCATATCCGTTTTCCTGTTTTATAACTCTTTCGCGCAGTGAAGAAATTGAAATTCATTGCATCGTAAATGTCTAGGAAGCATCTGTCAGGGTTTTTCCCAAACAGCATCCCATGTCTGTCATGTGTCTGCAACAGACAGGATTTGTTCAGCTACAATATACTGACTACATAACGTAATAGAGGACACACACACTTCCACTGTGCTCTGCCTTATAAGTACAGATTCTTCTTTATGTAATATGTAGCAAAAGTAGTCCTGCTCCAGAACCCGTTCAGTTGGATCAGTCTCACTAAACAAAAGAGTGAGATAGTTGATGACGTGTGACACAGTGGCACAGCATTGCTAACCCGTGGTTAGTGTCACCTGTGTGGCAAACAGATGAGGATTAACTCTGTTCCTGCAATGGTGTGTTTTCAGGAAGTGACCCACCTTGTCACAGAGGAAGGGTCTATATTTAGACTGATGGGAACATCTTTCATCTTTCAGCTCAATTCAGGGTCAAACGTCTGTGTGTTTTGTGCACGTTAAGGCCTTAGTGTGCATACACCTAAGTGACTTTTTATTTTGAGGATGGTGCTGTTTCCTCACCAGAGAGCTGTGCATTTCCTTTTTCTGTTCAAGAGTAATGCTAGAACACAGAAATGCAACAACATAGAGAAATAGAGGCGGGTGTTCTTTTCTCAGTATAGTAGATACAGTGCAGGGGGATGTTCCTTGGTCGCAATGGAAACAACTTTATCTTGCACAACAGTCATCTCGCACCACAGATAACAATATTTTGAGAAATGTAAACACAGTATTCGTGACACAGGTTTAGTAAAAACGTTGCATTGTGATGGATTGAGAGATAACCTGTTCATAAGTCCGATTTCTTATGGTGTGTGTGTGCTTCAGGTGTGCATGAAATACTGCCAGGTAAACATTACTGACCAGATCATAAAGATAGACAGAATACACGTTAAGGTTCATTTGTATGCGTTTGTGCATGTGAGAGACATGTTATCTAGGCGCTCATTAATCACAGCCTTCATCAGGTGTTGATGGCAGTAGTTGAAAAGATAGCATTCCTCCCTGTCCAAGCCACTCCCCTGTGGAAAGTCCAGGACCAGCTGAGTAGCATTGATGAGTCGGGATCATAGGAGGGGAACACACACACACCCAGGCAGAAGTTAGCGCAGGGAAATTCCTGTGTTTAGTGTGGCAACAGGGTTTTTCAGAGCTACACAACACAGGCTCTCCTGTTTCACAATGTGAAAAAGACCCAGCGCTGCCATAGGGGACTAAATACAATTCCAGGGTTTTTAGTAGCTCAGACAGACAGACAGACAGACACACACAGACAGACACACAGACAGACAGACACACAGACAGACAGACAAATGTTGAATCTTTCCTGACGGTTAGCAGAATACAGAGCAAGCCGTTTTCTTTTAGGTGAACCGAGAAGACAAATATTTGGAGATTTTCAGACATGCATTTTAGGTCAATTATGGCCCATTTGTCTCTGTTCAGCGTTGTCTGCAGTGTGTGCATACTTTAAGACATGTGAGCTTCATATAATAGTCTAGGCATCAGATAGTGCGACAACTGACCCGACGGCCTGGAAATCCCCAGACTTTTGTTACGCCTGTGTGTGCGTGTGTGTGTGTGTGTGTGTGTGTGTGTGTGTGTGCGCACACTGTAATTGTCTGTTGATAATACTCTGTACACGCCACATTTGCACGTACGAGTGCCCTGCAAAACGCTTGAGTACAAAATCCTCCGCCCTCACAGTCTAATAAAGTATGTTTCTCCTGCTTTCCTCTGTGTGTGCGAACAGGAGACGGGAACTGTTTGCTTCACGCGACCTCTCAGTACATGCTCGGCGTTCAGGACACAGACCTGGTGCTTCGGAAAGCCCTCCATGGTGTTTTGAAAGAAACAGACACTGGCGTCTTTAGAGCACGGTTCCAGGCAGAGCTGCTCCAGTCCCAGGAGTTCACCCAGACCGGACTCCGATACACCACCATGGTATGGAGATTAGCTGGCTAAAAGTAGTTTCCTCTACTTTGCATTAAGATCATTGCTATACCTAATTTGGTTGTGAGACTAGAACATTTGCACTCCTTATCTCTGTCTTTGCCTCCTTGCATGCCACCTGCAATATATATACTGTATATCTAGACGGAACATGCATAATATGTTATCTGTTTGTGAAGTTGTTGTATCAGGAATATGAGCATGCATCTCCTTATTTTCCTACACATGAATGAGTTTGTGTGCAGAAGTTTAATATCCTGTCTCTTTGTGTGTTTGCTGTCACAGAACTGGGAGGACGAATGGGAGAAGATTGTGAAGATGGCGTCTCCGATTTCCAGTAGCAATGGCCTCCAGTTTGACTCTCTGGAGGACATTCACATCTTTGTCCTCTCCAACATCCTCCGCAGAACCATCATCGTCATCGCAGGTACTCACTTTGTTACATCACCTTAAAGTATCTTTATTGCAACCTGTCAGCCAGGAAATGTTTTTTTTTCAAACGGGTCTTTCAGTAAAAGTTTCCCCATGCCTCTACATTTTGATGACAGTTGATTTCACTGTATCCCCTCTCATCTATTTTGCTTTGTATTGTCTTTGTTAATATTGCCATGCATTTTAATACAAACTTTAAGAATAAGCACTGTTAATAATTGACAAGGTTTACTGACATAATTCATCAAAATCACTGAGAAACATGCAACAATGTGAATGTATAAAATGCGCACAAAAATCAGAGTTAACTTTCTTTGGCTGATTCTCTTTTGAAATAAGTACTATCTCTAAAATCACTGTTTTCTTTTTACAGACCAGGTGGTTAGAAGTATGAAATCTGGTTCCTCCATCTCTCCTCTGAATGTGGGGGGGATTTACCTTCCGCTACACTGGCCCCCCGCAGAGTGCTACAAATACCCAATAGTGCTCGGCTACGACTCCCAGCACTTTGCCCCCCTCATCACCATCAAAGACAGCGGTCCAGGTATGAAACACCGATAAACTAATACATATTTAAAGTATGTATTAATTTAATTTTGTTTAATAAATATGACTTTGTAACATGTTAAAGTATTTAAACCCCATTCATTCAGTAAAAATACAATTATACAAAAAAAGGAAATATATATAATTTAATATAGGCCTAGTAAAAGTATCCAACGTCTCAGTTAGGTCGAGTTAAATAGTATTTGCATCAAAACAAAGATAACTAAATAAAAGTAATGAATATGCAGGGTGTCCCATTTTAAAATTAAATCTTATAACTGGATAGATTATAATTAGTGATGCATTAATGTGATAATTTCTTTAATGTTGCAGCTGCAAGGTTAGGGTATTTTGAATGAATGTATATACTGCCAGGACCTTCATATATTATAAAATATATCNCCCAAAACACACACAGACAAACACCCCCCCACCTCCCCAGCTCACCATTACACACCAAGAGCGTTGACTTTAAAGCATGATGATAAACTCAATCTAGTATGAAGGCTAAGGAAAACAGACTGATAGAGGATAGTGTGTGATATCGTTGAAATGTTCAAACTAAACATTTGAAATGGGTATAAAAAAAAGACCAGTGCAATAGAACAAACTTGACACGTTCATTGTATTCACCTTAGCTGATCTGGCCACCTTGCATTACCTCAGGACCTTTAGTATTTATTTCATGCACAACGTCAACACCATCCTCTTCTTTACCTCAAAGCCCCTCTCGCTGCAAAAACATCAGCTCTTTAAATGAAAGTTTCTTTGAATGGCATTTTATGATACAAAACTTTTTTTATTTTGCAGACATGTCAGTTAAAGCAGAGGTCAGGGTAACGCGTGATAAAAGGTAGAAAGGGAAAAAGCGGTCTTACAAAGTCAGGAGAGGTTTTCCTCGGTTAGGCATCATGTCCATCAGTTCTCTGTCTACCATTACCTCTCCTATACTGGGGGACTTGCAGGGCTGTTTCAGTAGCAACCTATTCATTAGCCGCAGAGCTGTTGTGCATACCAGGTAACCCAAACACATCCAGCCCAAGGGATGCTGGCAACAGAAACTCACTGTGAACAATGGCAGTCCTACTCTGGTGATCAGATCAGTGTGCACCTGCCACAACAGGCTCCAAATCTGACTCACAATATTAGGGAGCTGTCTCCTCTTTTCCCATGGGGGATAACTTAAGAATTAAAGTCAGCCACTATGTTTTGCATGCCTGAAATAAATTGCACTCTCAAACAGGAACCAGCGTTTCTCTGCAGCTGTCAGAGTGTTGGCAAGAATCTGGATTTATGATATGTGTCATGATATTTAGGGAAACTGTCATAGTATAAAGAACACACAATCATATTCATACAATATAAGGAAAATATTTATTTGTATGCAATCAGGACAGAGGGATCTGCATTTGCTTGTATTACAGCCTCTGCAACAACCAACCTCATGGCACTACTTTGTGTGCAATGTGCTCAAAGGACATGTGCCTATAACAGTCAAAGGTTGTGATTACAAACTGAAGTTTTAGAGATTCATTCCATTTCACAACACATTGTGCGATACTTAATATGCATGGATATTTTCATACATCTCTATTCAGAGTGATGTGGATTTAAATGCAGTGGAATTCTCTGGAGATGCTGATGAGGCCCGACATGATTGCTATCATACTCTGATCCACTTTGTCAAAAATGTGTATCATTGAGGCCCCTGGTGATTTCCAAAGCAGATATATTAGCTTACATATCTTTAACTGCTTTAGCTCGCAGTGCCAAAGACCGTGAATGTCAAGTTCAAAGTGCCGCCGGCGCCTTGCAATCTCATGCCACCAGATGGCTTTGTATGTATGACATGACCCGTCTTGCATGTTTGACTGTCACATTATTTATTGTAGAGAGATAAAAGACATTGGTGAGTGACACCATTTTGGAAGTAGACTTCTCCAGTCCTTGGAAAGAGCAGCTGGTCCAGCCATGGCATTTGATTCAGGGGTGAGGGGAAGGAGGGGATGTGAAGCCCGCCGTATATCAAAAAAGTTAAGCAAGACTGTAATAAACAGCTAGAGATGGAAATAGGGACACAGACGGTGTGAACAAGAGATGGGGATTGCAGGAGGAACAGCAGGTCCTATGTAAGCAACAAGTCATTCATAAAAATAAAATATCTCTCTTGATTCACGTCAAAGCCCCGTTGACAGTTATGACACATGTAACTCCCCGCTAGAGGAAAACAAGCTCATAACACTGCTCCCTCTCAGTCTGTTCATCTTATCGTACCCCAAGGGGGTCCTCCAATTCTCAAGACATGACAATACACAGAAATGCTTAAAAAAAAAAAAAACAGCTGGGCATTTCAACGGCCTTCCTGGAAATATAAACTGGCAAAAAGCTCCAGGCCATGAGAATAAGCTAAATGAAATCCTCAACACATCTGAAAACACCATAACTTTATTTACACCATCGTTAAAGATGAGAAGAGCCTATTTGGTGTGGCCGCAGTGGGACGACCACATGGCAGGTCATGACTTGGGGGTGTTCTGAGGTGCAGGTTGGCATGGTGACGGTGACAGGCGGCTGGCCTACCTCCAAAGCTATGGCGATCTAGATTGAATTTCCAGCAAACCCCTCTGTCGTCGCTGGCTGCACGGCCCCGCTCCCCACCGCCCGCCTCACCCTCTCAGCGCCCGTGGCCCTGTCCTAACGGATTGTCTCACGCCTTTGAAGTGCCGAGGGAATCCGATTTGAGCTGGCTCTGCTAAATTGTTACACAGCTAGCCTGCCCACCATGATCTAATCAGCCAATTGCACGCTGCTGATTGTAATTGGATGAATTCCCTCGCAGGCTGTTAGGGAAGCAGGGAATGGCGGTTCGGGGAGGGTCACTAGGCCCCAGGGATGAAGACAAATAGAGGAATTACATGAGCAAGGGATGAAGATGAACAGGGTGATGAAGAGATGAGAGGAGGCTGAGCGGTGTCTCAATGGCCCATTAGAAAACAGAGCCCGACAGGGGAAAAGGTAAAACAGCCCAGCTGTCAGACGGAGGAGACGACACCTCAGTCTGATCCGAAATCAGATTATACTCGCCTCAACTCAAACTTCAACTAGTTGGAGATCAGAGATGGGTGAATCTGTATCCACATGAGGACTGCACTGCCTTTTCAATTGAACATTTCTTATTTGGACACAGGAAATGTAGTATTAAAAATATTTGGCATTGTATTTGTTTAAGTTGTGGCAAGACGCTTCACAACATAATAAATGTATCGTGTTTAAGAATACAAACACACACACACGCACACGCACACACACGCACACGCACACGCACACGCACACACACACACACACACAAGAACACACATGCACACAGATACACATCTTGGGAATCTTGAGTCTGGATTTGACGGTGTTATACTGGGTCAACAAGACTCTGGCCAGTGAATGCCTCTTGGCTTTACAGAGAATCATTCTCAAGCTTTGTTGAGCTGTAACACTCCGGTTGATACGCGTCTTAGTCACACTGGCAACCATGTTCTTTTTAATCCATATCTGCGAGCAGAAAAGTAGACCCTGATATTTTGATAAAGATTATGGATGCAGTGCTGTATGTCCTTGAGGTTTGAGAATGAATATTGGTTATTAGTTGACACTGACAAGTTGTGTTCTTTTCTTCCCTGTAGGCAGACCTTAGTATAAACCTGCAAGACGACAGCAGCTTCTTCTATGGTGTTTCCAGTCAGTACGAAAGCTCTGAGAACATGATTATCACCTCATCCACCAAAGTCTGCTCCTTTGGCAAGCAGGTGGTGGAGAAAGTCGAGGTAAGAAAAGGATCTTGCAGCCTTTGAGGAATATAAACTATTCAAACTGAAATATACGTTGCATTTATTTTCAAATGTAACTAATTTGAACTTGCTTATATTATAACCTACTACAGTTTCCTAAAACTGCTGATGGAAAAAATGTAGTTCAATGGATTGGCCTTGTCAGAGGTCTGCACTTAAGTTTATTTGAAATTACATTTGAGTCTTTGGTCTCTGTTAAATCCAATTTTCAGCAGGATCAAGCTATTATAAATCCAGAAATTAACACCATCTTTTATTGAACTGTGCTTTTTTAGACTGTTATTGTTAATCGAAGATGTCCATTCTCATTATAATGAGTCTTTTGCCTATAAATGATGCTCACATTTTCTTTTTTTTTATTATTCGGATTTTGTTTGCTTCAGGTTTAGCAGAGAATGTTATGTTTTGGCATAGTAAAGATCACTGATTGCTCAATTGCTCAGTGATATTTCCACATTAAGAGGTCATGGCCATGTCAAAAACCACTATTATGACCCAGAGGAGTGAATACCTGCTACTGGTGGAGATGGATTCCAGTCAATTACCACTGATTTGTGGTCAGGAAACTGACATGATTAACAAATCTCCCCAGCATGACTAACTGTTATGCTTCCCGTTAAATGGACACATAGTGGCCCTCCCCCACTTGCTGCTGAGGGACCTGATAATACAAAGACATACACATCCCTAGGTGGAGCCATCTGCCTCAGTAGACCACAGAATGATATTTAATGGCCTCATCATTTGATTACTGTTGTCACAAGAAATATGTTTATTGTCATATGTGGCATGCCAGCTGCTGCATTAGGTATATTATATTACACATATTACAGCTTATCTCACAGACGTTCACATTCAATGTATCCAATTGAGTTTCGGTGGAAAATGTATCCCAACATATCATCAACATCCTATCCTTTAATGTGTTTTAAATTATTTTAAAACATGTTATATGTTCTCATATATTGGACTGTATGCTTTCATTGTATCTTTTTTCCCTAGACGGAGTATGCACGTTTTGAGAATGGGCGCTACGTGTTTCGAATCCACCGTTCCCCGTTATGTGAATACATGATCAACTTCATCCACAAGCTTAAACACCTGCCGGAGAAATACATGATGAACAGCGTACTGGAGAACTTCACTATCCTGCAGGTATGTACTGTATGTGTGTGTAGAGGATTTACTTATTTCTGGTATAATATAAAATAGCATTTTCTTAATTATTTTAGTTTTTCTTCCGTGCTGAGATAAAACTTCTTAAACTAGAAGATCAACATTCTATCGCCTCTAAGTCTTGTTAAGAAAGCAGATGAAAGTATTTATCGTAATGTAACTATTGCTTAAGAAAGCTTAATATAATACACCAGTAACGTCAACCTTTCAACAACATCCATTGTTAGCAGACTGCATTGCCGACTGAGAAAATGTAGCTTTGGAGTTTGTGTAAAGAGGCATAAACGGCTTCTCTTCACGTAAAAGGAATTTATGTCTGTGTCTGCAACACATTCATGCATTGAGACACTCAGTGTCCTTCTTCATTCATGTTGGTCAATTCATAAAGCACACAGGGTCGCATGTGTTCAATACCTGTACTTACTTTCAATTTCAAAGTGTTTTCGCAGGCTCCCACAAAGGGCTTGACATTGGAAAATAGTTTCTCTCTAAATATGGTCGTGATATTCTTCTATGGGTTACCTTGACGGACCTTTAGCAACTGGTATCCCTTTCTCCCTTTGAACAGCATAGTTTCTTGCAGAGTTGAAACATATTTTCTATTCGACTGTATGCCAAACTTTTCTGAACGCGCTGGTGTGCTCCTCAGAGAGCAGTCTCAAGGAGAGAAGTGAATGGACTGGACTGTATCACCATAGTAACAAAGTGGTCCTCAACACCAGGATTCAAAGACATTGGTGTCCCGTCCATTGGCGGCTGCATTCCTACTGACCAAGATACAAAGGCCATATTGAGCCCACGCTGATGACTACATGGCAGCATGTCATCAAGTTACTCAATGGGCTGATTTAGCTCATATTAACCACGAACAGCTCCTAAACAGAAGCTGCACACACAGGCTCAGACACGTAAAGACAACACATGGTGCACTCACAGACTCCACATTGCAAGTCTGAGCACAATGGATCGATCATGTGTTGTGTTCTATGCAACACATGCTGAATTGATTAAGTTGTGTTCTTGTTTCTTTGCCACTCTTTTCCCTGCCTTTTGCAGATAACAACGATTGACTTGCATGAGAATAACATAACATTTTGACCAGAGGGATAATTTATTATTTATCATTAGATAGTGTTATATTATGTAGTGTTTCAGTAGATTTAGAACATTCCTTACAAAATGACCAGTACTTGGTTCTTCTTTTATTTATTTTTCAATGCAATGTGATAAAGCCCAGCATGGTCATACACATACTATAGGTGAATCATTTGTAATAGTATGATGATGGTGTTGTTACCAAAACATAAAAACAGTGAAGGATGATGCTGTATCAGGTCATTACATTTGAACTGCTATCAAAGTATCTGCATTTTAGAAGCAAGCAAACTTAACCCTATGCTGCTTGAATGTTTAGATTCCTAGTTTTGATTCTGTACATTCAAAGCCTTGTTTTTATCTAAGGGAACAATGTATGGATTGTGTATGCTTGCAATCCTTTTGAACCTGTGACGACCCCTCCCCCTCCCCCCTTCTGCCTGGCTGTGCTCCCTGCCTTGCTGTCCTCTGGCAGGTACTGGGAGTGTCGTCACAAACCTTTACCTATATAGGAACACACTTAATACAGAATATAAGAATGTGTTACATTTAACTGTACTAGTAAAAAGAGCGCTAACCAAGGTTGGATAAATATGTGTCCCCACAGTTTGACTGAGCAGGATCTTCTGTGTGTTCTTTGTCCACAGGTGGTGACTAACAGGGACACACTGGAAACCCTCCTGTGCATAGCCTACGTGTTCGAGGTGTCCACCAGTGAGCACGGCGCACAGCATCATATTTACAGGCTTGTCAAAGACTGACAGTCACCCAGTTGGGACTTACCGTCTCTAGACCCATTGTAGCATCTCAGTGAGCAGCAACACTAAATACATATTGGATACTTCCTCCGTAAGCTTAAAGCTGAAACCATACAACTCGGTCAGAAGCCTAGAAGAACACTGGCTTTGTCAGCATGCCCGGGAACTATATTACTGTTGAGGAAGAGATGGATTTAGGATTGTGGAAGCTGAAACGACCTTAATGTGAAAAGTGACAAGAAATAAAGAAGAGGACCATGATACACTGTGGTCTCTAAACCAAAGGAGGCAACAAGACCTGCATGAGAAAGTTTCCATTGGTGGTGTTTTTCATCTCATTTTACTAGTGCTTGTTTTTGATTTAGATTATTTGACATACATGCATGTGCAGGGGATGTTTGCTACAGAGGAGTTTTGCTGCCTCAGTGTGCCACCTAGTGGCCTAAATATAAATTACAATGGGGGAAAAGAATACGAGTAGACTGAGAGAATCCCTCCTTTGCACATCCATAAAATATCACTGTTTTTTGTGCCAATCGTTTGTGTTATGAATAATTATGTACAGTGCCACATCCATCTCCTCTAGTCAGATTTATGAAAAATGAGGCTAAAATGATTTTAAAAAGAGCTATTCTATTCACGTTGTTTGATGTTTAATGTTAAATGTTTGTAGTATTGTCTTACTGTTTTTGATTGAAAATGATCTGACTACAAAAGGCACATAACACTGCTAACTTGAACCAGATTCAGATCTGTAACCTGATTACAGAGGTCGACTGTAACTTGCCCTGAAATGTCGGATGAATATACAAGTGTTTCTTACGAAGTGCCTATGTTGCTGAGTTATTTCGCATTCTGTTTCGTTGACTTGATATAAGGGAAAATAAGCTGTACATTATGTTCAGGGTTTTGTCTTCAACTTAGATGATTTCATATTTATACACGTGCAGATACTAAATCTGCTTTGTTTTAGAATACGGTGTTGAGGGTCACCTTTTTCCCATAATGCCTGTCCAAAACCTATTCTCTTTAAATTGATGTAAAATATTTGAGAATCTGAAGCAAGAAAAACATTGTAGTTTATCAAGCAAATGTGTAAATGATACTATTACCAAAATGGTGGATAATTAAGTATCTCAATGTGTATCTCCATCATCAACTACGCATTTCAGCACTATTAATCTGTGTTAGTATTTAATGATTTCTCTTTTGTGAAGTGTATTAGTCAGTTAAGTTTCAAAGATAGACGTCCATCGAGCGATGCACATTTGTAGATTTTGTTGCGTTAGTGAAAAAGTACATTGATATTTGGAATGGAAGAGACCACTGCCCCCTGGTGGTGTTGAGGAGTCATTGCTAACTCGATGGAAAGGGAAACGTACTTTTCCTCTTAAATAGTTAACCAATAACATGGAATCTGCAATGGGATTCAGCTAAGTATGATCATTTAATGCAATAGTCTCCTGTCTCATTAGGAGTATATACAAATTGAAGCCTATAACCTGAGCTCGGAATATGTGCTTTCAACTCCCAGGTGTAAAGTGAGAATGTGTCCCTGCAATGGAGAGACACGCTCACAAAAGGTAAGGTAAACGGTCCAATGGGTGAAGAAATTAAAATGCCATAGATCGCAAGGTTTATTCTGATAATCCCAATTGAAATAATTCAGGTAGGTTGCTCTAATTATGGCAATCCCCTCTCAAATCTCTGAGAAAAAACAAGGTCTGTTTTCATCGAGGTCAGAGAGATGCTTACAGCGCCATAAGCAATATGTCCAACCCTCTCACAGAAGGTCAAAAGTCTGGCGATATGAGAGATTTTTGTAAGACTCAAAAGAGAGTTCGACAAAATAAGAGAAACCATTACCTGCATTCCAAATTGACAATACTGCAACCCATTGCTTTGAAAACGCATCAGAAATTAGATAAATGAGCTCTACAGAGATTGGAGGTTCATTTTTTTTTTACCTAGAAACAGCCTAGTATTTTTGTCACTTGATGTTTTCAAGGTCAGAAATATACTTCCCATGTAATTGGTTAAAGATACAATGGACAAGAGGTCCTTAAAATGTATTTTTTCAAAAAATATTTTCAAGACAACTAGTCATCTGTAAATGATCACCTGGTTATATTTATTAAATACATGTTTGATATATATTTGCTAAAATATTCGACTATTATTTAATGTGTTCCTGTTAGTGTCCAACCATATTATACCATGACATGTAGGCTAAGCGTTTAAAGCTTGGCAGATTTGTTTTATTTGCCACACTAAAGTTTTGATTGCGTTCAAAATAAAATATATAATGTTGTAGAAGGTGCCTTTTCTGTAAAAAATGAAGTCTTCTATTGCGCGACTCGGCCTCTATCTATACCGTGGTTCCTCCTGGACACCTGGGTCCCCCCCACCTCCTTCACCAGGTGCGTAGCAGTGACACACCTGCAGAGGGACTGGCTCAGGTAGATCCAGACCTCTGGTTCCACTTCATGCCTGTCATCTCCCAGCAATCAGCTCCACAGATATGTCGTTGCTGCGTCCAGATTGTAATTTAACATGGTCTGATTTACATTACGCGCAATGAATGTCACATGGGGTTTGCTGACGGTTTTGAGTCTGGCGTGCCACACCGAGTCGAGGTGCTCGCCGACCTCTTATTATAAGAACTGTTGGATCCGACGTTTTCCCGGGATTTTCATCAACATCGAGGAGTCTCAGCGGAGAGGTGCGCAGCTTCTCAAGTCCTACCAGGAGGAGACCGCGCTGAAATGCAGCCGCACCTGTTGCCTCACGAGAAACTGTGAGTAATGCTTCATAAACCACACACATTTTTAAATATTGTGACTTTTTGTTCTTTTGTAGGCTACTATGCCCGCTCCACCGATCATATAAGCTAATTGTATTGCCTTTCCTCTGACAGTTTCCTGCAATCTGGCAATATTTCACTATGATACAACTCAAGAAAACGTGAACTGCTTCCACCTGCACTGTCCAACGCTGGAGAGCTGCATCCTCAGCCACAGAGGCAACGTTGTTCTGTACAATATCACTAAGGGTAAGTCAAGTAAAAGGTGAATACTGAAAATTCCTGTAATTTAGTCATCTTCTATTGTGGTTTGATATATTTTTCAGAATATGTCTCCCTAGTATATAGACTACAGCCAGAGCCTATCACCTACTCTAGAAAAGTTTTCACCGCAAGACATACAAATGCTGCAATACATTGGCTAGAGCTAGACCTAATAATTATGGAAAATAAGTAAATTTTCTGCAACTTCATACTCTTACACTTCTGTATTTTAGATGTTAGTATTGTACATAACTCTTCATTACATTCAGAGAACAACACTTTAGATTATTGTGATCATCTCATGAAATAATTGTTAGCTCTGTAATTACCCTATAGTTAGAATTATTACTGCCTTTATGAGCAACCATAAAATGCTCCTGACATACTAAAGCATGAAATTGTAATCCAATATGAAATTAAGTAAAGGATATGGAACCACATCTTCCACCACAGACTTAGAATGACTTCTTGTTCTGATTAAAATAATAATATTAAAATAAATGTTTATTTAAGAAAAGTAGCCTAGCTGATTTTTTTATGTTAAAAATGTTACTCACATTTTAAAAAGCCAGTATGTTTAGTATGACATCACAAATGTAAAATACAACAAAGATAAGAGACCCAAATCTGTGTCTTGTTCCCTAGGTGCGGATCCTGACCTGTTGGTGTTTGGGAAATATTTCACCTCTAATGTCCGTGTGTTACCGCACCACTACAGTCGAGGCAACGCCTCAGAGCTGCTTCCACCTGACAAACGGCAGTTCATCCATCCACCTCCGCCCGCTGTACAGCCTCTGACTCCAGCACCCACAGATGCTCCCCCCACCACAGTAAGCAGAGCGCCCCATCACCACCTCCCCACCAGCACCCCCACGCAGCAGAGCACCAGTGAGCCTTCTACAGCTCCCACAACTACCGCTGCCCTGTCCTCCACTCCACAGACTCCTCTAGGTTCAGAGAACAATGCACAAACAACAATCCCCACCACCTCCACCTCTCCTCTTGCACCCGGCTTCACTACGCCTCTTTCACCCATCACAACAACCCCACTCATCCCTTACAATCCCAAGACCACTCCTGCCTTTTCTACCACACATGCACAGCCCTCCACACCCCCCACCACCTTCTCTCAGATGGCCACCAGCCCCCCAACTTCCACGTCTCTTATGGGCAGTTTAGAGAGCAGCAAGCAATCCTCCAACGACACGAAGAGCAGCGCGGTGAGGAACCACACTGCGGGCGGTGAGGAAGACCATGGTGTCAGCGGAGAGGACACCTTCGGGGGTTTGGGGTCTGGGTGGCATGTAGCGGCTCACACCCTGCTGGTTGCAGTGGCCGTCTTCATCACGGTGCTGCTGAGCTGCTGCTGCTCCATCCTGCTGGTGGTGAGCTGGAGGGGTCAGAGGAAGAGGATGGGACGGTACCGGACGTCGTGGAGAGGGAAGAGTGGCTCCATGCGTCTGATAAAGTACGTGCTGGTCAGAGAAAGCAGCGCCAAGACAACACAAAGATTCAACTGACATTTCTACTTTGTTATGGCAATGTATTTAATGAAGGAATCCAGGATGAAGAGACATTTGACAATTGTACATTTGCACCGCTATTTTTCTAAAATTGTGCTGAGTTAACAGCTTTTACTTCATTTGAAAACAGATAGGGATAACACTGTAGTTACTGTCCACTGATACAGTGAGGTTACAATTCCATATATGAGCTAAACAGGCAGAGATGTTTAGTGTGTCTGATGAGATGACCAAATAAAGTTGCTATGATTTTGGACTCACTTGGGACACGATGACATTTGACAGAAGAAACTGAGCCAATGCATTTGACCGCAGGAATTTGCCTCAAGAAAGACGATATGAAAACCATTGGGCTGTCCTACATTCTGATGTACTTCAATGAGTTTAAAAGGATGTTGATGCCACACCGCAGGAACTTTGTCAAGTTGTGTAAGTGGGACTTAAGGGGGGCTTCCAAGAAAAAAGGACAGCTACAATTCAATTCAGATTGTAAACAATGTGCAATGATGAGACTACTTTTTGCCTGCTGGGCTTCAGTGTTTAACCCTCCTTCAGTTCAGCACATATCCTCAGTGCGTTGGGTTGCTTCCGAACCTAGAAGTACCGAACCAGGGACCAAAACGCCTAAAGAAGGGCGAGGTACCTTCCAACAACCTGCTGCTGAAAGCATCCTTTCACTGGGGTGCCACTCGTCGACCTGACAGTGAGGAGAGCTGGATGTTGGGATTGGATCCGACTGAATGGGGCTTTCATTACAGAAACGCTTTAATCATCAAGCATACAAACTTCAAAGGCAGAACACTTAACAACCGCTTACATTAGGCTTTTATTTTTTGTAATAAAGACGACCTGATTCGACAGTATTTTGGAAAATGAATACATTAGTTGAGACCATTGATGATGTCCTTATATTGGAGCAGTAAATACCTACAGTAATCTCGTGTTTGTGTTACTTGAACATAGATGGAATCCAAAATGACACGTTTTTTGTGGTCCCTGCTGCTTATTTTCACCATGTTCATGTAAATACATTTGTACATAAAGCTGTATTACAGGTTGAGCACTTTCTTCACGGCCTCTTTGTACTGCAGAATGGTGCTCTCGCTCTCTCCTTCATTCCTCAGCCTCGTGACAGAGTTCTTGTACTCCTGCACCTCTTTTCTTCCCAGCAGCTGCTCTCGTACTTCCTCGTCCTCTCCTTCTCCGGCCACTTTCATGCGTACCAACATGCTTAAGATGTTCTTTTGGGACGGGCTTTCTTCCCAGCTGTAGTCCTCCATGTCCGCCACGGTCTTCTCAGCCTCCCAGGCCTCGGTTTTCTGATGAATGAGAAAAATAGGACACATTATATTCACTTCAATTTGAAATGTATGTGTGTGTGTTACAGCAATTTTGACACATTACATTTTGTGTGGCTGAGTCTAGTTTGGAACACAGTAAGGCCCCAGATGTTAAATATGAGGGTCCTTGGTCACTTCTTTGATGCTCCTCTCACAGAGATAGTATTTCTCTATACGTAGTGCCCCCTCCGCTGCCCGTCTAACTGTCATCACATTCCCTTGAGAACAACACGGCCCATTGTGCGGCAGCTTAAAGCCCCGCTGCTCTGCAGGTGTTTGAGGTTAATGACCATCATTACCGCTGTACATATCTGATCCACATAACATCCCGTCTGACTAAGTTCAGGCCTTAATGAGGGAGGAGAAGTAGCTTTTCGGGGATAGATCAGGAGCTTCCTTTGACAAAATGAAGGCCTACTAAACAGTAGCATTAGTCTTAGGCTATGGATTATTTTACTAATGAAGCATTCCATCAATTACTCCATCAAACCAGTGATATGATAATTACTTGATCAAAGAGCAAAAGTCAATAATAAGACAGTCTCGTA